TGTGGATCATAGCGATTGCTGCGCGCTACAAGGAGTGTCCACCAAGTGTTTACCATTGTGCTCAGGTCTGCAAACTGCTTTCTGCACTATTAAATATACAATTGCTTGAATTGAATGATTTGTACTTCTTACAGGAGACTCTTTTTCCACGGATGTGGACTGCACACCATTTGCAGTCAAAATCATGGAATGCTTCGTACAAGGTCATGAAGGAAGTCCAGAGCCGGTCAGAAACGTTGACTATGATGTTCCAGAAAAAGGAAAGCTTAAGGTAGGTATTGATTCTTTTATGTTTACGCAATAAAATATGTCCCAAACCATATATATCTCTAATTCTTCTATTCTTTCATTCTCTATGTCTAAAACTAGACATTTTTCTATTACAAGATCTCCTTGCCTTTAAATTAATCAATTACAATTATGAAAGCCTAAAAGAATGTCAGAAAAGAAAATAAAATTTTTAGGAACTCTCGGTTTTATAAATCTTAAACTTAATTGATAAAACACAAGGTTCGTTTTCAGGTGCAATAAAAAAAAGTTAATTTCAGATTTTAATACTAATGCAAGAAATTCTTTCCATTATCATAGAATAGTTTGAGAAACTAGATTGAGTGCCAATCAACTTATTTAAAGCCTCAATTTGCAATAATCATCATCCGGAACCCTTTAATATCAAACGGTTATTTTAGATCACTTGGGATGACAGTGATTCCGCTGAGACTTATAAATATTACGCTGTTTATTATAAAAAGAAGGACGAGGAAGGAGAATACAAGGTAACTTGCTTGTCAGTAATCTGCAAACGAGCACTCACTGGATTACTAAATACATAATATCTATAAACCTCTATTCAGATCGAGAAAGTAGTGGCGCGTTCGGTTGAGCTCCAAGTTGAACCGGATACTGCATATGACATCGGTATAATTTCTGCGAACGCTTTTGGCCACAGCCCACTGGTTTTCCTAGATGTTCCCTCTACAAGTGCTGGTAAGTCTCCATAGCCTAAAGGCATAAGACCATGCATTTTACTCGTGTATGACCCTTTGAAGGCAAATCTCATTCGTCCAGTGGCGGCTCATCAGCCTTCTTCATCTTCCTGCTTTTAGTATGCTGTGGCTTGGTTATCATAGGTGAGAAAATGCCCTAAAGTGCTTTGTGACTTCTTTAAGGTAATTCAATTACCTAATTTAGGAATAATTTATCTTGGACGACGACGCGA